AGTGCACACTGCATTTGCACACAAACATGTTTGACCCTAATGCTCATGAAGACAAATTCAGGTATTTCTCATCTTTAAGCTTAAATCCTACAAGAAAACCAAATAGATACACACACATATTTACATTTAAATTAAAAATATATTGTACCAATGCAAAGTACCTACTTTCACCAATGTGAAAACACCAAAGTGAAATACCAGCAAAACCAAGAAACTGTAAAAATCTTGGCTTACTATTAAACTTTTGAACTCAGTCTGTCAAATTCCTTTTCTGATAAACAGAATTATTGTTAGCAGAGTGATGATAGCTTGCGTTTCATCAGGATTAATGGATATAGGGAAATTATAGAAATAGAATCAGAATCATCTCATCAAGTGAATCTCTGCAACACCTGACACCTCATTATTTTACAGAAAGGGAAAACAGCTGCAAAGCTGTGTGAGGTAAACATAGAAGTCTACTCTAAAAAAATTATCCTTAAATTATACTACTTAGTCTACTTCTGCACAGCAATGTTTCCCTGCTGATTGCTTTATTGACTGGAGGCAAAACCTGCAGACAGTATGTCCTAAGACATAGATGCAACAATGGAGGGAAATTCTTTGGAATTCAATTTATATTCCCCACTTCTCTATTATGGTGAAATGAAGCATCTGCAAACACATCAAAACTACTGTAAGCAGACAGTTTATGAGCCCAGACCACGTATGTTTTCCAGTGAAAGAGAATGGAGCTTGCTTTCCAGGGCACAGTATATAGAAAGGGACACTAAAGCATTTTAACTGACACTGAATTGTGAAACTTTAAGATACCAGGCAGGGGTATCACACTATAGGGAGCTGCAAACAAATTAAAGCAGCTTTGTCCTATGGTTTTGTTATAATTATGTTCAGGGGCCAACTTGGCAATTTCTTTGCAGGGAACATGTTATCTGCAACAGCCACAAACTGACCGAAATAGTACGTTCACAATACACCTAAACAGAGATTGTTGTATCAGAAACCAGTGATTAGGGAAATAAAAGGGCAAGAAGAAAAAGGTTATTACACACACAAAGAACTAATGATCACTCCTCCAGGAAATGTAAACAACATGTGTGTTACTCTTCTTATCTTGGTTAGCCAGAACCTCCCAAATACACAGAGCTTCCCCTGTCTCTTCTGCTAGCAGATACGTTCACGCTTTTTAGAGCACCACCTTATATTCCTTTTCCTGAGATTCTTGTCTTCAAGTGTAAATCAGTCTGAATCTACTTTTCTCGAGCATGAATCTATGCAAGCCAGAAGGCTATACTTCACACCTCAAGTCTTCCCTAAATTCAGCAAAACCCCTGAAAACACCTGGGATTGAAGATTTTTCTTAGTGCAATTTTTATAAGATGTCTTCATCAAGAAACCCAAATATCTCAGAACTCAGCACAGACAGTAAAACAGACAACTGCTTTTTAATTAAGACATCCATTGAAATTTAGAGAGAGAAAGAAAGCAGTCACGAGCATTGAAGTTATTATTCCCTTATCTGACTCTATTCTATATGAGTTCCAAACCACTTCCAATCAACTGGTCAGTGTGCACCATGGCACTGGGTGCTAAAGAAATATTTAAATTTATTATATTAAACTTAATGAGAGCAATGGCAGAGTTCTTCAGCGACTTGGTAGACTTACCTTTATGCCCAGTGCCTCTAAAGAATTTAATACTCCTATATTTTTTTCATTTCATTTCATTGAACATGATGACTTATGCACTGCAAACAATTGTGTTGTTGACTTTTTAAAAAAAACAGTCTTTTACTTTCATATTTACCCTAACATTTCCAATGGACAATCCTTGGTTTTCAACATGTAACAGCTTCCATGTATGTTAGGAATGTATTTCCTCAAATGTCCTACAGGAGGAATGACTCCTACTTCCGTATTTACCAGAAATTATTATACAGCCAAGATAATGAGGCTGCAGAGATACCAGTACAGCTTAAACATAAAACTGTCAAAGTGACTTTAAAGTCACCTTACTATACAATGACACTGCAAATTCATACTGAGTATTTTCAAAGTACAGGACAACGGCAAAATAGGGTAAATAACACTAATAGGTACTTTTCCCATGAGTTCTAATGTGCAACATGCCTCAACATTACTCTTTCCATTTTATCCTTGAGCAAATTCAGGCACTGCAAACCGCAGTGACAGCAGCAGCCTGGTGATCCTGACATGCATCACCTGCTGCAGCTAGTGTAGCCCCTTCCTACCTTCATAGAGGCAGAGCTATAAAATTAAGTCCCCAAAGTGTAAGTCAAGAGTATTAATTTTAAAACATAAAACTGACATAGAAAGGTGCAACACTGATTAAAGACTAACTCAAGTGCTCAGTTCTATCTCTGTACACACAGAATTGACATTACTGTACCAAAAAGGCACTAATACAACAATTTCATTTCTGTTCCATTCAGGCAACAAAAATAGCAAGGTGAAAAACCACAGCTGGTATCTGCCAGACAACTGACAGATGAAGTGTACGTGGTCGGAGACATCCATGGTAAAACACCTGCAGGAAGAAAAGAGCTTCAGCCTCAAATGTCTTGCAGAAAGTGCCAAGGAAGCCCAAAGGTGAGCCCCACACTAAGGTACAGAGCTTTTTCTGTCTCCTTGGCTCCATAGAAACACTGTACCACCAAAGGGATCATTTTGTACTTCAGAACATAAACGATTTTACTAGTGATCCTACAACTCTGGCTGGACTACCTGTATTCCTAAAATCTTATGACAGAAATAAACATTCATCTGATCAACAAATGGCATAAGCAGACCTAACTTCTATCCAAGAGTTCAACTGTTTTATACAGACAGCCTAGAGATGACATAACATTTGATAATCCTCAGTGAAAAAAATGTAATTTTATCTTTATCAGCAGTGTAATGAGGTTATTAAAAAAAATAACCAGTATGCCTATTTATTTCATGCTGTCACATATATTCTTCCCCACAGCTGTGCATGGAATGACATAAACTCAGGGTTCAAATACAGCTGGTCTCTATGCAAGCCACAGTCATCTGAAACCTGTGCAACACCCATCTCTTCATTGCACTTGGCAATGCAAACATTCACTGCACCCACACACTATGGAAGCAGCTTCACCCATACTCTCAGCCAAACTCAGGAACATTTAAGCTACATGAAACACCAAAATGATGTCATTTCCCTTTCTGGTACTTGTCTGTTTTTTCCTGCTTCACCAAGTGTCTTCCGCTTCCCTAGGCAGTCAGGAATGACAGATAAGAGAATGCAAAGAAATGGAGTGTGAATGTAAAAGGGAATATAATTGGTTCAAGACTCTCTCCTGTCTTCAATTTTGTACCGTCATTTACAGCTGTCTAAAGTGTGTGAAACACTGACACCCAAGTGAGTGAGTAGGCAATTAAGATTTTGTACTCTTTCACAATCATTCTGCACAGATGTAAACTACTGGTTACAGTATGAGACAGCAGCAACACACTGAGTGCTCTGGCTTGAAGACCATATCGCCCCTTTGGGAAGGATACTGCTCTTCCCTGACATGTCTTCAGAGTTCAGTCCTGGAAGATGCTGAAATCTTGGACCCCAATCCAAATGCAGTCCTTAAGTGCTTACCTAACATTGCAAACTCATGCATGTAAATACTTTCATTACCTGCATCAAGGTATTCTGCAGGCAGGGAAAGCAAGGCCCCAAAACCAGGCAAGTTCAGCACAGTATTACTCAAGTTCACTGTTCAGCCAAACATTCTGTGTTTTGCCCATAAAAATGGAAAGCCTTTAGATAGGAATATCAGGCAAGCCAGCATGAAGTCCTGTATTAATAAAACTAAAATCAAGTCAAGGTAAATTGAATTATTTTAGAAGTTCAAATTGCGTGTGACATCTAGTGCCTACATATATTTGCTAATGAAATGCAAAACTGTTTCCTTAGGTCAGAGGCTGAAGTTCAACCCTGTCCATAACCACTAGCAATTGGCTGCCAGGCTTTTTAAAGAGCTGTTTAAACAGCTACATCCTTTCCTTTGAGCATCAGCGCAAAGAGAGTGGGACTAGGATTGGCAAAGAGAAGTTTAATTGTCCACCAGCCTTCAGTACTGGTTG